CGCGACGCCCACGTCCGCGACGGCGCCGTCCTCCACGTCATGCGACGCCCCGCCCCGGGCAGGGAGCAGCGCGAACACCGTCTCGCCGCCATTCGCGCGCGCAACGCCCCGCACGAGCCAGAGTTCACCTTTGCTACCTACGTCACGCACATGTTTAGCCCCCCGCACGATCTACACCCGCATCACCCGCGGGAGGAAGCCCAGCACGATCGCCGCGACCCCGCGCACGATCGCCGCGACCCTGCGCAGCCGGAGGGCTCCGCGAATCGCCAGGTGGAAGGAGGCCGCGTTCGCCGCCTTCGGGAGCGGGAGGACGGCCGTCGGCATCGCCTGGCACATCTTCGCGCACATCGTAACCGTCCGTTTTATGTGGTGGAGGAAGAGCCGGTTGTCGAGTTTGAGTGGCATCATCAGGGGTATGCCGATCGCGAGCACAATGAACGCGGACACAGCCCTTTGACGGGTGAGGACGAGAATCATGATCATGGGTCGCACCCTAGCCACGACCATGAGCAGGCCCCGTTCTTTGTGATTGAAGAAGGATATCTGCACGGAAACGACCATTCCTATGACCATGATCACGACCACGATCAAAGCGACCACGTCCACGACCACGACTACGATCAAAGCGACCACGTCCACGACCACGACCACAACCACGACCACGATCATGACCATGACCACGACTACGACCATGACCATGACCACGACTACGACTACGACCATGACCACGACTACGACCATGACCACGACCACGACCATGACCACGACCACGATTATGACCATGACCATGACCATGACCATGACCATGACCATGAACACGACCATGACCACGACTTTCACGATCATGAGCATGAGCATGAAATCACGCACGGCATTCCGGACTCTTTCATGTTCACTCAACACAGCGAAGTGTATCACTTCGATGATAACGAAGAAGACGATATTGACGTCGACAATGGTAGCGACCGCGGGCACTCTCACCGTTTCCCTCACCATCACCACCACTTCCATCCTCCCCATCAAGTCCAAAACGACAACCACGTTCACTACTTTACGTTTGGCGATACTAGTGAGGCCCCGCCTTCGCGCGATCCTCCCAATCACACAGATGTCTTCTTATTTCATCGCAGCAACAGTTCGAGACTCCGTTTTGTTGATCTACACGACGTTGTCGCCTATGTTCTACAATCGATTGGCCTAAACGATGCGGTCGCAGGTCGCGGTGCGACGTCCGCAGCGGCAGTTGCTGCGGCCGCCCAGCTCCCTCTGGACCGTTCTCATGCTATCGCGACTGCCCTGGACAGTGCCTGGTTTGAATCACGACGCGCATCGGCCAGCATCATGCCAGAGGATGACGGCGCTGATGGCAGGCAACCGTCCATTCCACGTGATGTTCCACCAGGATCTGATCAGCAAGCAAGAGGCACCGCCGCCGTTGAGGCCCTCTTGCCGCCCTTAGCGGGAATGCTCCGTGCCTTAGCAAACCGGATTGACGGCACTGAGGTCCCAGCTCTTTTCGACGGCACAGGACAACAGCAGGGACAGGAGCTTTTTAACCAGTTTGGCTCCCTTGCCGCTACTCTGGCATCCACCGGTGCATTAGTGTCCACCCTGTTGCCCTCAGAAGGCACACAACAAACTGGAGATCAGGCAGCAGAGCCCCAAGCGGAGATGAGGCCCAGCGGACCAGATACTAACACCAACCGTAACGCGCAGGGAATCGATAGGAGCAACAGCGAGCTGCGTTCTACACGGATCAATGGCACAAGCGCAGAAAACAGAGAGGGGCCGCAGACACCGAGGCACTCGTCGGGTGGTAACAATGCATCGCGCCCTCCAAGAAATGCGCAAACTCGTTCTTCGAGAGCGACTGACTCCGAACCGCCGAGACCCCGTCTCGGCAGGAGCAATCCGAGCACTGCGTCCTCCGTGAGTGAAGGGCTGGCTGCGAACGGGGATTTTGTGCTGCGAATGCTATCGTACTACCTTCGCTCCATATCACCTGCTCCTACAAATGGAATGGGGCCTCTTGCGACGGAGGGCGCTACTGCGGATTCTGTGCTTGACAACGTATACGGGAGCGGAGCTCGGCCAAGGCCTGAAGATTGGTGGCTTCGTGTAATCCAAATAGTCATGCGAAACCTTACTCCGCAGCAGTTTCATAGAGTGCTATCTGGTGACTTCAGGCCGCTGAATTCGCTCGAAGTTGACATTTGGGATGTCATCTGTGAAAATGTAGTTGGGTGTAACCCAACACGTGAGCGTGGTGATATACCATTCAGGAGTATATTTACTGACACGGTTTGCGAGGCACTGCATACTCTCACTCATGAGATTGAGGAGTATCACGGCATTAGCGCTGGACTCAGCGGAGGTGAGAGACTCGCCAATTTGTGTTCGCATGTAATGCCTGTTGTGGAGGATAAGATGGACGATTTATCAATGTTGTTGACCTGTCAGCGCGAGAATTCTGAGTTTGGACAAGATCTCTTGAATCTGTTAAAATCGACATGGGGTGAGCTATCGAACATCCTCGCCCGAGATTTACAGGTTGACTGGCAAGCATTGCTCGCAATTCTCCGAGCAGCTCTTCATGCCGTGGGCAAACAGGTGGTAGGGGAGTCATTGGCGGTTCTATTTCCGACATTCGCAAATTTATTTTCGAGCCGTGCAGAGTCCGTTTACAACGCGTTCAGAGAAAATCCAGAAATTTCCGATCCAATTTATCAACGGGCTCGACGCAGCGAGGCCGTTCTCACGCGCAGTGCGGGTTCCGACCGAGGCGGCGCGGTGATGCGTCAGAGAGCTTTCACAGATACTACCGCCCATGACGCAGAAGATCTTACCGACGGCGATCTATCCGACCTCCTTGACGTCAGTGCAGCTGAGTTTAGCGAAGACATGTCGGACGGGGACGGCTCTTCTTGTTGTCGTTCCGACGCAGATCGAGAGGGACAGGCCAACGCGCTTCATGCGAACCGCCCCCGGATGGCTGCAAATGACAGTGATGTGGAACTTACAACTGAAGATTTTGATGATCTTGCTGCCCAACTTGATGCGGAATATGCAGGCGCGTCCGACGAAGTGCCACGAGCAAACACTATTCCCGCCCCAAGCGCCGAGGATATGGATATAATTGCTCGTGAACTTGAAAAAGAACATGCAAATTCTAACCCCAGCGCATCATCGACTTCGGAAAAACCGACGCGCATCCCAACAACAGGCGTGAAGAGAATGGCAGGAATGTCTTCGTTATTAGCAGCATCAATGAGCAGACCTGGTTTTGCCCCTGGTCTCGGAGTAGGTGGCGGCGCAGGGGCCGCTGCAATGAACAGAACAACATTTTCGACAGCGAGATCTGTCCCTCGAACGTCAAGAGGCCAACCATCAATGATACCCCGGGATGACTTCGAGACAGTATTGGGTCCACAAGATGGAAAGACGTGGCGGCGAGTCGTTCATGGAGACGAGGCCAAGGTCCGCTCGTCTGTGAAAGGGCCCTTAAGTAGGGGTTATCAGAATAAGAAATCCTCAGTACCGTCCCTAACCCTAGAGACAGCTGCAGTAATGGCTGTGGAGGATGCCAAGGCTGCAGCAAGGGAAGCGCAACTATCTGGAGAGGCTACTGAACAGCTTGTCAACGTTGTGCGAGAAAATCGATCGATGTATTTACAAGAACTCGAAAATGCTATTAGCTCAAGATTAGCCACAGACCCCGACTTTGATCGGGAAACATTTCCGAACGCCGCCGCAAGATTTTCCAAACCGGGCTAGACAAGCACTGAGCAAGCCCACCAAAACCGCTCTGACTGCGTATGGAGGAGAACAACTACAACCCAGCTACATCACCCTTCCGTTTCAGAGTCGAAATTAAGGGTCCTAAGTACGTCTGAGTATATCTCTCCGTGAAGAAGCCATGTTCTCGGTTGTGTTCACTGATAAGGTTGTGAGAGAGTTCGTGTGCCATAACGCTCCACCAGAACGCGTAACACTCGAGACGATAGCTCTTCTTGGTCCGATAGTGCAGATTCACAAAGTACCGAATGTTGAAGAACAAGCGCTTTGCTGAATTGAAGGCCACAGTCGGACCGAGGGGTGCATGATAGATAGCCACGGTGTCCAGACGTAGAGAGTAAACCTCACATAACCTCGAAAGGACAACCATGAAGCTCTTTACTGCGCTCCAGTTCGTCGCCAGAAATGTTTTGGATACCTCCGAACCTAGCGTTGAAAACACAGTCATTGTGGCTGGTGTCCTTGACGCATCGCTTGGTCCTGTGAACAACTCCAAGTCTTCGACAATCGCTGCATCGCAGGTCAAACCCGCCTGCCCCATGGCCTCCGGTATCGTGCCTCCGGACTCATCCGCCGGGAAATGTACTTTTTTCTGTTTCGTTGATATATGTCGGGTTGATCCTACTGATTGTCGAAGCATCTCTTGTACTCCTTCATGATTGGCAGCGTCATCAACATGTCCGGCTGTAGAAGGTCGAGAACCTTCTTTCCGCTTTCCCCCTCCTTGTGATGGACCTACGGATCCCGGAGGTGTCTTTTCACTAAACCGAGTTCTTGTAGATCGGGGCAGTCCTCGCAAACCTTTCACAGCTCGACTCAACAGGTCTCCCTTCTGCTTTTTCAACCCGGGCACCTGTGAGTCTCCTGATGTAAATGACTGAGAAGGATTCAACTTAGGTTGTGAATGGGGCTGTTCTTGCTGTTTGTTGGCAGATAGGAGGTTCTCTCTACTCTTGATAGGTTTCCTCTCTGGCGATGCCTCCGGCTCAGGATTTAGCGATGGATTCGTGGACGACTCTTCCACCTTAACAGGCTGGTCTTCAGCTGGATCTTCAGCATGAAGTATGCGATCGACTGGAAACCCACGCGCGCGAAGTTGATCAAGGGGTGCTTCAAGAAGTGACCCAATAAAAAACGCGTCCTGCACATCACACTTCTGGAGAATTTGACTTCCAATGACATTTCCAACGTGAAACCAATCAAGCCCTTGAGTTACGAAAATGTAAAACTTTCTCTCTCCTCCTTGTTTTGTTGACGATGGGGCTCCAGTCACATCCTCTCCGACGTATCCTGTACATGTGGTCTTCTCAATGCTCTCCTGTGACCCATAACAATACTTTGCGTTGATTCTTGAGACCTCGTAAATCTGCAGTACATCATCAGAGAGCAAAACAACTGCATCTTTTGATAACGGCTGAGACACTACGTTTGAAACCAGCAAAGGCCTTCTCTCAGAAATCCTTCCCCAAAAACTCTTTGTGAGCTCAGTTGAAGGGTTTTGTCCACCGTTCGCCCAAAAATTTTGACGGACCTTCTGAGAGATGCGGGGAGACCCAAGGCTCTTATAGAATATCTCAATATCAGATTCCTGAGGTGCTGCAAGAAGTGTGAACATTCGGGAATAGCGAGAGTTGTCAATGATACAAATGTCACATGCCTTTGCTAATACGAACTTATTTCGATCCTGAGTTTCTGAGTCACCAGATTGAATATCAAGGCGTGTTTCCAAAGTCTTGGTAAGCTGAATCGATAAAAGGAAGGGAGACTTTTTCATTTGGGGAGTCACCTCTCGGTACGGGGGGTTGGCTGCGATCCGTCGCAGCAATGCCAGATACTTAGAACTACCTAGTTTTGCCAGTACTCTATTTGGAGATGACAAGACCATGCGAAAGAGATCTTCTGTCGATGGCTGCGATTTAACGCCCATAGTAGCCAGAAATGGACTGAATCTCCTGACGGGGAACAGGGAATTAGTGAAATCCTCGCCGTCACCACCATCTCCAGAAAAATAAATTTCCCTCGGAAGAAACCAAGTCATGCCGTCTCCCGTCTCTTGAGGGATAAATGGTGTCTTGGAAAGATGCTCTATCATCTCTCGATCAAGTTCAGTGGCCCGTGTTGACAAGTATTCAAACACACGTTCAAACGCTTTCAAAATTTCGTCGGTCTGCGATGTTTCCTTGGCCATCCTCATGGCATCCCCAACGACTGAAATAAAATGAGTCCCCAGCTCCCTAGAGGTCGGCTTTGTCGCGCAGCGAAGAACTCGGTCGTAACCCAGCCGCTTGCCTTTTGTGAAATGTGAATCCAAAATAGGAAAACCAAGACAGCTGCATTCCGCGCTTGAAAAACAACTGTTTGGGGAATGGAGTTCTATTGTTCTCTTATTGGCACGCAACGGGTACTCGACTGTTGCCGGTAAAAATTTGCGCTCAAGATAGTTCTTGTAATCGGCTGTGTACGACCCACCTGCGACAAGCTTCTTGCATAAATAGTCAATACCATGTCTCCGATCACTTTCATCCAATACCTTCACACTCAAGTGCTTCATCAGTTCCGATAAAGGTACCTCAACCTTACAACCAAGCTTCACCAAGAATTCACCGTCCGGTGAGTCCTCGCGGAGGGTCTCCGAAGACCACTGCAGCGTCTTTACAAATGGAAATTTGCCTACAGCCTCATTTGGTAAGTACAGTTCTGGAGGTGCGAACGTTCTCGATTTATCATTCACTGCGGGCAAGTATTGCGTTGACCTCAGCTTCTCTAAATCACTCGTTGATAGATTTGTGGATCGCAGAAAGGTTATTAGGGGCTTGGGATTGCGATTCCACTTGAGCCGGTCCAGCTGAGAAAACAGAAAATCAATAGACACTGTCTTTCGAACGCCAATGCAAATGAGGAAGTCTTCTGAAACGTTTGCGGGGCCCAAGGCGGCCGATACGGTCTGAAATGTACCCAAGCCACGGAACATACCAAGCTCGGCAGATCTCAAGTAAAGATCGGCCGGGACGTCTGTTTGGCATGAAGATGCCGGCTGGCCATCCACGGGAACACACCGGATACGCGACAAGGCTCGATGGAGAACTCTTTCATACTCCTTCTGGAGGTTCCCAGAGAGCTTTGAATGCTCACGGCTCATCACCACTAACACTTTCATTCTGATGTCGTTGTCCTCAGACCTTCCATCTGTCAAGCATGGATGAGTAGCAACATAGTGGGCCCAATATTGAAATGGTAAAGGGGAAAACCAGGACACCAAGTATTTGTCGGTCAAGATTCGGTCAGGAACGACATCCAAAAGCTCTTTCGGAAGGACGAATGGTGGCATAGGCAAGTCAGAGGACAGCATGGTTTTGTCCAAATAAAACTCAATGTCGCGAAACGAGATGGTAGCGTCCACTCTTTCGGTTGTCTCGGTGCCGGCGGCGATGCTGTCAGCGTGTCCTCGCATAAATGAGATACTTTGTTTGAGAACAAGACTGTATGTCGCAGCAGACGTGTCGGCTCTTGAATACCTCGTCCACCACGTCAACAGTCGAACTATTCCTTGAGTGTGCAGTGGATTTGAACTACAATATTTTACAAGGTCATCCATATTCAGACTTCGGCATCCTGCAACGTGCAAAAGATAGTTTTCTGCATTCTTCAATACAATGTTGCGAACAACTCCCTTCTTCACAAAACCTTCGATACCGTAATAAGGAAGCCTGGCGTCTAGGCCTCTCACCATCCCACTTTTTGTCAATACCAAAGGAGAAACTCCTGGGAGGCAATTTTGGAAACCGTTGGCCAGTACTGTACCAACCAAAGCATCTGGTGTAGACGGTTGTGGGGAAAACGATCTCATTAAGGAAATTGCGTCCTTCTCTTCTTTCGATAATGGTCTCGAGTCAGGGGGATGGAAGACATCATGTCCCCCGTTGCTTAACAAATCTGACGATGTGATCGCATTAGCAATTTTCTTAACGCCGCTCGACATGAACTTCGCAAAGCTAAACAACGGATTAGAAGATTCTTCCAGCACCTTGCCACCTGCAGATTCACCCTCGCCCGCCGACTCAATGCCAGTGCGCGAATCAGGCTCCTTCTCTGAAGTCTTCTCCGTCTCCCTCGCCTCGTAGGCGAGTCGCTCTGGCTCCGTTTTGGCATACTGCTCGCCAATGTAGCTCATGGAATGTTCCAATGTAAGCCGTAAGACTATTCCTGCAATTGCAAGTAGTTCGCAGTTGTATATTCGCAATGTCGGATCCTGAAAATCAATGGCTTCTCGTTCCACCGTAGGGAGCAGAGGAGCGGCCAAGTGTGCCGCCAATCCCGTTGTTTGTGATGTCTTAAACCCGATAAAGACGCGCCCCGCACCCATGCCAGGTGAGAAAGCACTCGTAATCTTTGTAGCTCTGCTCTTTTTCTGCCCGTTATCAGATGAATCATTGGCATCAACGAAAACCTCAATCTTGACTTGTGAAGGCGCGAGTTTCTTCGTTACTCGTTGCATGCGACGAGCCATATCTGACGGGACTTTCGTGTCTGCCAGGGCAGAAACGTATCGCGCCCTTTTCACGCTTGAATCGCCATCAAAATTGACAATGATCTCGACAAGGGTCTCTGTAATAGAGCCATCGGAGCGGCCGAGGGTAAAGACGTGCTTCGGAGAGGTGGTCACGGCCCCATCACCTTTCCACCAGTTGGAAGCTTTTGGAGGTTTGATGATACGCGGCTTATCAAGTTGACGCTTCGAGATTGTTAATCGCCGCTTCCCATCCACAAAAACCAGAATGACGTTTAAACATGATGTAAAGGTCAAACTTGAGCACAAGAACTGGCCGAATTCGACTAAATCCGGTACTGGATACGGGTCCCTACTGCGCAGAACAAAACTGGTCCATTGATCCACAGGACCCGGTGCTTTGCCAATCTTGACCCAAAGCGCATCTCCCTTCCACGCAAAGGCCATTGCTTGACCCCCCGATACGACCATGGGCTCCTCGCAAATTGAGAACATTGTATACGCGCCGACACCAAAGGCGCCTACCTTAGACACATCTGGATTTCCCTCTGCTATTTTGCGCATACGGGCCCAATCCTGGTTGCGAAAGGGGAGGCCATCGTTCTTGTACACGACTTCGGTGACTAGGGCTCCACTTGGGACGGGGCACGTAGTGAAATGAATCTCTGCGGTGGTGGCTTCGGCGTCATTGGAATTCTGCAGAAGCTCACGGTAGACGGCGCCCGCGGAGGCGTAGCGGGCGAGGATTTTGTCGATGAGGGCGCGTTGGTTGACCTCAACGCGGGTGTCTACTCCGGTGGCGAGGACAGCGCTGCGAATGGACTCGAAGGCGCTTGTTACCTTCGAGTTGGCAGCGGCTACGTGGTCCCCTGCAGAGGAAGACATGGCGCTCGAGGGTGTGTTCAGCGAGAGCTATCTCGGAATCAAGTTACTCCATGGGGATGATGACTGGGGGTGGAGGAGGATGCTGTCTCTGGGTATGGGTGAGAGACGGGGGGGCCCCTGTGCGGTTCAAACGCCGAGGTGGCTGTTACAAGTGTCATTGCTGGACGCCTGGTTCGGGCGACAGAAGAGGCGTGGGCCTCTTGGATTGGTTGAACGGGAGTAAAAGCATTTCCAATAATTTTTTCAACCAATACATTCATGCCAAGTTTCAGGGTGCTTGCGTGCTAGCACACCGGCCCTCAATCTCAATTGGTGCTACTGCACAATATCATTGCTGGACATGAACTCAGCACCCAATCATATGCTTTGTGGTGTAAGAATAGGCACAGCATCCAATGAATTCTCGAAATATTCTCGAAATGTTCTGTAATGTCAGGGAATTTATTTTTTTTGCATTCACTGCGCACCATCCTAAAATATTCCGATTTTTAACCTTCCACTACCAAACTCGGCATTCCCGTCACCGCGCCATCTTCTGCAATCATGGCCGCCACTCCAGCCCCAGGGGCTGCGTCTCGGCTTCTCTGTCTCCTACCCGAACACTTCACCAAATCAAACTCTTCGCCGCGAACTCTTCGTGCCAACTCTTCGTGCCAACATAATCCCTCACAGGGAATAGACGTCACCTGAGTACCGTACAGTGCGCCCTGCTGCATCTTGCTGTACATGCCAATTCTACCCAATCCGCGCACACGTCAACCGCTTGCAAAACCCTCAATCCAACCGCCCAACAAATAACCAGTTGGTCCCTATATAATTCCAAAACAACCCCCCCGCCATGGGGTACGGCTCCGCAAACGAAGACGAGCGCATGCTAAGCTACTCGCCCAAACAAGTCATGACCGCCGCACCCGTCGCCCCCTCCGCCTCTTTGCCACCCAACATCGCCGGGGGCCCCACATCCGCCCATCCGTCAGAAGTCAAGCAACCTGACCCGGCCGCAGTGTCCCGCGCATCCCCACATGTCGCCGTCGACGTCATGGGCCCGGCTACCGCAAATCGCTTCGTCTCATACGCCAGGCAAATCTGGCAAGATTGCCGACCATGGAAAGAATTTTATTCCACCAAGGAACTCTCCCGACCTCACTTCCACGATCTCAGTGACCGCTTTGCTGCCAATTTGCACGACTATCGCGCCAATTATCAAGTCATTGCTGCCTTTTGGCTCGGCATCGTCTTGCTAGGTAGCATTCACAGTCTCCTCTTTGCGGGCCTTGGTTTCTGGTTGCTGGAAAAGTGGTGCACCAGAGTGGCCGCCAAGAACGGCGGTCATATGCAACATAAGCACAAGATCACCGCCGCCTTTCTTGCCTTGCTTGTCGTCTGGCTCACCTCAATTGGCAGCTATACCGTCCAGTCTCTCATTCTCAGCAGCATATCCATCGCCCTTCACGGCATCTTCCATACGCCGGATACTGTCGAAACGGAGATAGCCACAGTGTGATATCAGCTTTGCTTGAATCTCATCTTACCATTCATGTCGCTTCTTCGCACTCGTTTCTAATCGACCGCACCACTCATCACACATTCTCTGCATCGACGCCAATGATGCTATGTACATCACACCCTGTCTCTTCGTTTTAAGTCCTTGTTTACTCCGCGCTAACCATACTCCATAAACTTCATGGCGATCGTTCTGCTTTTGCGGGCCTCTCTGTCCATGTATCAAGTTTGACTGAAAAACTCTTTCACGTAATTAATCTTGTCCTCCGCTATGTTGAATACCGGGTCCACTTTCTTCACCTCATTCTTCGCGTCATGCTTAGCTTCACCGAAATGCTGCGCGATGCTCAATCCGCTCAATGCGTAACACGAATGCATTAAGTCGCGCGACGTCCCAGGCTTGTCCCTGAAACCCCCGTTTTCAAGTTGTGCACACTCAAGCACATACCTCTGCAACGCATCTGCATCGAATAACTTCGACATCCCAGCAGGTGCTCTGGCCTTCAATCCCAGCAAAGGGAACAAGGATCCGACCCAAAACGAATAGCATGAGTCCACAAGCTTGTTGGTGCGACCTTGGAAGCCCCCTTCATATGCCATCTGGCGCATCACGGCCCAATCCAACAGCGCACCAGTATCAACAGCATCGAGCTCATCTAGGATTACAAGGGTAGCCAATCCGCAGAAGGAATTACCACCATGCGATTCAGCTCCTGGTTCTCCCCCCAATCCCCCGTCAAATCCCTGAAGGCTCTTCACATACGAAGCACATCCACGAGTGATTTTCTCCGCTTCAACCCCCTTAAGTAAGCCAACTATAGACGCAATACATATGGCGCAATACATTGCACGCACATCCGTTTCTCCACCAAAACTGACTCGGAACGAACCATCTGCTTGTTTCATCTGCAATATAAAACGCAATAGGGATACGCTATCAATCGACATGAGGGCTTCCTCAGTCCCCAACCCGCATAACGTCATTATCACAGAAAACGACGATGCCAAATGAGAAGATTGACCAGGCCCCCCACCATACCCTCCCACTACTGGATCCTTAAATGTAGCGAGGTGCTTGACCACCATGGATGCTGTTGGAACAGGAATTGTGGCGCCCAACAAATTTAGCGAATGCACAATCCAAAAACAGGACCAGCCTTGGAGTACGTCAAAAGACTCGGACCCACGCGGCAAGTATTGCAGGTGACGCATCAGCCATGACACATGTTTCTCACGAAAAAGCACCAGTGGTTTCTCAGGCGGCCTTGCGTGACGAATGTCAAATACCCTTTGCTCAACGTAGTGCTGTGCGTGCCAAGTATCAGAGAATATATTTTCATGCTGCACACGCTGAACTCCGAAATCGGTAAGCTCACGCTCTGTCGGGACTGAAGGGGGGTAACTTGGTGTGTTGGTAGACATTTCTCAGAAATGCGGGAATGAACCTTGCCTCTCAAGCTGCGATAGGATTGCAAGAAAAATAGTCTGCGAAGTAAACGGAGATGGTCGGGGCAGAATTCCTGCTCTACCTACTGTAGTGTCTAGTGTCTACCCTTCCCCGGCAGGGTAATTTGGAAAAAAGGGTAATTTGGAAAAAAGGGTAATTTGGAAAAAAGGGTAATTTGGAAAAAAGGGTAATTTGGAAAAAAGGGTAATTTGGAACGCAGCTTCAAAGGTCTCTATGCACACAATGTGCACAGCTTTGCACCAATTGTACACGTGTACTATTTTAACTCCCTCAAAACCTGCTTGTCACGCCCAAAAAACACGTTCCAAATTGCCCAATTTTCTGGAATTCCGGCAATGTTGACCATTAACAATAGATTTGGGTAGGTTCTCACGAGATCCAGGCACATGAAGAATTGATAGGCTCATTTTATCGACTAGAATACAGTGCTTCGAATGGCGCCTGTTTTGGCGATAAAACCCTTAAACAAGTACTTTCTCCATTTAAAAAAGAGAATGCGTTCCAAATTACCCTGCCGGGGAAGGGTACTCGAGTAGTGTGTATTGGATCGTTGTCCTCATACTGTATCAGAACAATGTTTTTGGTAAACAACTTTGGTATTGCCGTAGTCAATTTCTCTCGCTGGAATCAGTTTTATGGTAATATAGAGCTTACGCCAAAAAATGAAAAATTAATTGGCAAATTTCAGCAACCCTGACTACAGAAATGTGATACAGAATCGTAATGAATGAAATCTGAAATTCGGCTTACGATGCGATAAACCCTAGTAATAAGTTTTAAAGTAAAGGGGGGTACCCTAAATATGGAACGGGTCCCTTAACGGCGGAACAACGTAAAAATTGCAAATTGTATTCTTCAAACCTGATTCTAGCCGCGCCGATTCTCTCGAAGTGATTTGGCGGTGCCCATTGCGGTACGTACAGTAGATCTTCTTATCAGCAAGGCAAAAACGTAGCCCAGCGTCTCATCAACAAAGACAAGGTCTTTTACGTACAGCGTTGGTCTTGCAGACAGTTGTTTGTGTAACTACTTATTTACTGCACGTTTACACAATAAAAAGATCCTGCTCATACACGAACAAACACTAATTTTCACATAAACAACGAAAATCCACAAAACTAAATAATTCCACTATTACTCATCGAAATCGTCGACAAAGTCGTCTTCGACGACTTGCGATTCTTGCAACATTGCACCTCCACCTTCTTGAAACTTGCTGTGTACGGTCTGAAAATCCATGTTCATGCGACGAGCCCTTTTTGCACGATAGTTAGCCTGTGTTCGCTTGCGATTTTCCACAAGCTGGTCTCCAATTGCGCGTCGATTGCGCTTCACCTGCTGATAAAACGAGAAATCTTAACAACGCAGCGGATGCATCTGTATGAGCGCATTTGTGAGCGCAACCGAAAAAATAAAAAATCGATCATACAGCAGTGCGGACCAGCGCCATTTTCTGGCCATTAATCCCTATAACGTGCACTGTCTTCCAAAAAAATTTCAACAATAATTCAATCGGTGGAATGCTTTCTGTTTGATGCCATCTGGTCACTAGTGAGCTCGCCCTGCCTTGGCTTTTTAACCGGGTACAGAGCACGCAACGTCTCTGTCGCTCCTTCATAGCCTTTGTCAAGAAAGCAGGCCCAAGAATCTGGGTACTGTTGGGCCAACGGTAAAACGTCCGAAATATTTTTTCGTCATCCTGTTTCTATAACTGCGCTTCGTGAAAGTTTCTCCTTTTGTAAAAGATGTCAATGTCCGACACAGCACCCGCGTAGTGCACACTCAGTCCGATAGCAAGTCCATTTGCGAGGACAGAAACCTCTGTCTTATAGCCGTAAAGTTTATGCTTACCGCTAAACATTGACTTGGCATCAGCCTGGTTTCCGGCAGTCCGGTTGCTTTGTTGAATAGTGACATCCGTGGCGTACCACGCGAGCTTGTACGTCTTGAATGTGTTCTTCTTTTGCAGCAGCTTGCTCATTGTAAAATACTCTGCGATGCGAGGAATATACAGCTCTTGTACAATTGGTACAATCGCCACTAGAAATCTCACTATGAGTCGCTCAAAGGTCGGGTCCTTGATCTCAAACATGCGCCCCAAAAAATCCCACCGACCGCCATGTTTTATCACCACCAGAAGCATGAAAAAGCAGTCTTTTGGTGTCTGTGCGGTTCGCTTACCCCTACCAGTGTTCCAATTCTCGAGCACATACTGGTCTAGGCGAGTCCAGATTGATGAGAGCTCAGAGAATGTCAAGTTGGTCATTTGGTGCACCCCCGCTGTACCACCCTGTAGCATAAAAGAGTCCAGAATTGGACTGTCACTGTCGGCATCGCCATCCGACTGACTGGCGATAGGTGCCGTTTCGAACTGCGCGAATTCTTGTTCGCGCGTTGCGGCAGCATCAGCAAGGAGGCGGAGGGCGGATGCCACGTTTTGAGTAGAGGTCGGAGGCATTGTGTTCAAGGAAAGAGGCCGACAATTTGGATGTAGATCGTTGCGAGGAGATGTTTGGGAATGGTGTGGATCCGATTTGTGGCGGGCTCGATCTCTTGCGACTTTACTGAGTCTTCACTGTATTTACAGTGTCGCGACGGAAAAACAGGAGGATTTTTTCAACAGTTGTTGTCCACCAGAATTTACCGGTAAAAAACTGGTCGCGCAAATCTTTAAAATATTTTGCATTTATTGTGTACTTGCGGCATGTATGCCCGTTTCGTGATGTCGTTCCTGATTCGGTGAGGGTATTTGTAGAAGATCTACTTCTTCGCTGTAAGTCTGTAACTGAGACAAAGGTCTAGTAGTTCTATCCAGTGCAATCTTTATTAAAACAAATCTGACTATTGGACTCTGCGTGGCACGTTCCGTTAAAACAGACCATTCCGCCACCCAAGTCTGAATATTTCCAAAATGGGGGAGTTGAACACGATGCACACCATTAGACCTCAAATGAAGTAAACCCGTATTTGCGAAAAGACAGCATGAATACGCAAAGAGGCTGGCTTTTCATAAAAACGTTGCTGACTGCAGCAAAGATCTGCACATAGGGTAGGAGGCGCGGTGCAACTTCACATCTAGTCCTCGCGGAGCAGGAAAAAATTCTGTATAACTACGAACAGACAGGTGATGCTCATCACCGACATATCTCAAACGGTTCATATGGAGGGGTGTGGTAAGTGATCATACCTCTGACATCCTGAGAAAACATATCTTTTAGGCATGATCAAAACAAAACTGCTGAACGAAATGGCGGGAACTGTCAAGCATTGTTGCACCGGCTTAACATTTCCAAAAAATGAAAAAGACACAAATCTGCCACAGTTTTTCTTCTCCTCAACCCCTACCCAGAGCCCGTCCTGGACAAAAAACCCGAATCGCTCCAAAAACGCCACTGAGAAGTGACTGACAACTCAACTGCCTTTGCAGTGAGTACAAGTGTTTATCATATTCCATCTGCTACTGTACGAAAGCACTACTCCTCAAGAAGACCGAAAATTGCCTCACCTCCCTCCTCGTGATGGCGCTGCCCACTAAAGTTCCGGTACTCGAGTTGCGCCTTCTTTCTTTTCTGCGCTGTGTCGATTCCAATCGTATTCAGACGATTCTTGTATCGTCTAAATGCACATCCATCATCATCGCGCAGTGGATGCCACTTGATGTGCATGTTCTTGAAACAGACACTTAGGCGAAACAGCACATCATAGCTCTTCTCTCCCCATCTGCACTTACTGCCGATGATATTCCAGAGCACGCATTGCCTGCCGAAGTAGTTCTCAACTAAAATTCTATCAGAAGAAATTCTTGCATTTGCGCGTTCTTGTTCTGAAGTCAGGGCACCGTTGCGGGGCTTTTTCTTGGGGAGTACGGCCCGTACAATCTCGGCAGCTCCCTGGTAGCCCTTGTCCATGATAGCCGCCCAAAAACCGTGAAACTCCTCCCCTAATGGACCGATGTCTGCGATATCCATATCATCATCTGCTTTCTGAAGACACATGCGATGAAAGCCAATGCTTTAGCTGAATATCTCTATGTTTGAGACTGCACCAGGGTAATGGCGCGTGACGTTAACGTCAAATCCATTAAGTAGAACGGAGACTTCCGTTTTGAATCCGTAAAGTTGGTGCTTATTGCTGAAGTGCTTTTTCCCTTCTTCATGATTACCAGACGGGCGGTTGGTTTGCTGAAAAGTGACATCTGTTGCGTACAGAGCATGGCGGTTGTGCTTGAACGTTGTTTTGTTCTGAAGCAGACGCGTCATTTTGTACTTCCGTTCCCACTTCTGCACCACCTCACGGTAACGAAACTCTTCGACCATACACACAAACGCCATGGCCACTCGCTCAAACGTCGGGGCTTTCACTTTGAAAACTTTTGCGACAAAAGCCCAATTGCCACCATGTTTTATCATCGTCAGGGTCATGAAAAGAACATCCTTTGGTTGATGTCTAGATTTGCGGCCTCTGCCACAGTTCCACTTCTGTTCAACATGTGCTGCAATCAAACTCCATATGCCGCTTAGCTCCGCGAGCGAAAAGTTTTTCATTGCCATGATTCCGGCGGCACCGCCTTCTGCAAACAATTGGTCGATAACTGGGCTCTGAAAGTCCTCAGCCTCACTTTCATTGTCCGTTTGGCTACTGAAGTTCTGAATCTCCTCGCGGCGGTTGGCAGCGGCATCAGCGAGGAGCTTGATACCACTACATGCATCACTGCTAGTCACTGTGTCCAAGGCTTTTGTTGAGCGGGAAGGGAAAAGGAGTGTCTCAGGAGTGGTATCGACACTGGTGAAGGAACGTTTTATATACAGATTGCGGTGTGACTTGACCGTCGTCGACGATTGCTGGGTTTGCATTCTTGCTAGATTCCCGCCAAATTGTTCTCTTCGTGATTTTGCTGGTGTGAGTTTCGGCCATCATCAATTTGTGCAATCAGGCACGTTTTTTGCACTGCTTG